CAAAAGGACTAATTTTCTTCCTACATTCCACATGTATGTAAATAGTATCGCTATTATATATATGTGTGTAAATCTTAAATGTTTTATACAGTTTTGAAACTCACAGCATAAGAGACCTCTGTTTTCTATATTGATATTGTTTGCTCCCTAAATTTGCCATGAGCCTTACGGGCATGCCGGGAATTTACTCAAACATGAAATTGACGGGTGTGAGCGTGCCACTACTAGATGCCGCTAGTAGACGAATTTTGAATGATTGAGATTACACCTGAGTTTGACTTCAAACCAAGACATTCTGCCATTGAGTGAGAGTGGCTCAAATCAAGGTTCTTTCTTTACCTTAAAGATAAGGACTTTACTTATATGGAGAAATGTAACAACAACTAAATGACAAGGTTGCTGGAAATGTAAATGACAGAGGAAAGTAAATGATTGGAAATGAGTTATACATAAACTAAAAAGGAGATCGATACTACTAGGTGAGTAGCAGAGCTAATAAACTAGACAAAAGATAGCTTTTCTAAGAAATCTATTACTAAAAAAACTAGAATCTGGGCTGATTACAACTTTTGGATGCAAATCTGGGTTGAGAGCAGAGTTTGTATGTTTGATTGGTAGAGTGTCCTTGTGTCTCTACTCCTTTATATAGAAATCTGAAAGAGCCCCCTTGCTGAGAACACCAATCCAGCCCAAATGCATTCCATTTGCCAGCTTGCATGTGAAATAATATTAAAAAGACTAACTTGCATTTCCACCATGTTTCTAGCACATGTCTCTACCACTTGCAATAAACTAATAATTAAACAAAAACAAGGTGGCTTGTTTCCTCCATATGTCCACTTCCATGTCTACATATTATTTTCCTATCCAAAAGCAAGCATTTGTTTTGATTAAACAAAGCTCTCGGCAAACCTCCACCACTCAAACAAAAGGGAAACGGAATATTATAACGTCAAATTACCTCACTTACAGCCAAATATCTTTCCAAGTTAACCTTCTTGTACAATGATTCTCCAAATACCATATTTAGCCCGAATGCCCTAAATGAGTAAAAATAAGTACATTTTAGGTGTAAACAAATATATTTCCTAAATATTTTTAAAGACCCGCGGCAGCGCCGGGGCACTTTTTTTAGTCTTACACGCTTATGGGCACTTTTTCTAATCTTACCTACTTTGCATGAACCTTCCAATACGGTTGAAATCTAGCTAGGGGGTCTCTACCTACTTTGCATGAACCTTCCAATACGGTAGAAACTAGCATTTTTGAATTAAGAATTATTGCGAGTGCAAAAGCTATGTGTTATGTTCCCCAACCCGTCAACCACGGCATGCACGCAGAAACCAGCCGTGCAACCCAATTTGGATGCTAAAACTGACTCCTTTCTTTGCGTCAACGTACGATTACCTAAGGTTAAATATCCAGAGCTTCATTTTGCAGCCTAGCTAAAATGGAGTTCTCAAGTATTCATTTTAGCATTTGGTTTCTTCTCCTTCTTTTTAGCTCTGCCTCCTCCTCGCGTTTAGCGGGAAATGAGGTGGATAGGCTTTCCTTGCTTGCCTTCAAAGCTCAAATCGTGACCGATACCCTGGGCATCCTTGGCTCTTGGAACGAATCCCTCCACTTCTGTCATTGGCCAGGCATCACTTGTGGCCGCAGACACCAGAGGGTTACAGTGCTCGACCTCCGATCAAGCGGGCTGGCCGGCCACCTATCTCCCCATGTTGGAAACTTGAGCTTTCTGAGGGCTTTATACCTCCAGAACAATAGTTTCAGCCACCATCCCAACAGAAATTGGTCGTTTGTTCCGCTTGGAAAGACTATTCCTTGGTAACAACTCCTTCAGTGGTCATATTCCATTCAACTTATCACGTTGCTCTAACCTCCAATACCTTTACTTATATGGCAACACTCTTAGTGGCGAACTTCCAACTGAAATTGCCTCATTGTCCAAGCTTCAGGTACTTGATTTTGGCAAGAACAATTTTTCTGGGATAATCCCACCTTCTTTTGGGAATCTTTCTTCTCCTTGGTGGCTATCTGTATCTGGAAATAATCTGCATGGAGGTATTCCAAATAGCCTTGGCCAGTTGACAAGCTTAATGCATTTTTCATTGTCTTCAAATTATTTGAATGGTACCATCCCTCCCTCCATATGTATCAAAACAACCTTCATGGAACTCTTCCTCCTGGCTTGGGCCACACTATATTTCCAAACCTCGAAACCTTTATTTTCCATACCAACCAATTCACTGGACCAATACCAGCTTCAATCTCCAATGCCTCAAACCTTTCACTATTTTCTATCTTAGGCAATAAGTTTACTGGGAAAGTGCCTAGTTTGGCACGCCTGTCAAATTTGAATTGGCTTCAACTTCATGAGAACAATCTTGGAAATAATGAGGAAGGTGACTTGGATTTCGTATCTTCTCTAGTTAATTGCACGAATTTAGAATCTTTATCTTTCGGCCTCAATAATTTTGGAGGAGTGTTGCCTGAATCTGTCAGCAATCTCTCAACAAAGCTCAGGGAAATAGGATTTCAGTTCAACCAGATACGCGGAAACATTCCCATCGAGGTTGGAAATCTTATCAACGTGGAGAGACTAGCCTTTTCTGAAAATTTATTGGCAGGCACCATACCGAATTCAATAGGTAAACAGAATAAGCTTTATGGCCTATATCTAAATTCGAATGAATTGTCAGGTAATGTTCCATCATCTCTAGGAAATCTCACTTCATTAAGCTCATTGTTTCTCTACTCAAACAAGTTAAATGGCAGCATACCACAAAGTCTTGGAGACTGCAGGTCTATGTTAAAATTGGTTCTTTCCCACAACAATCTTAGCGGTCCAATTCCAAAACAAGTCATCGGTCTATCATTGCCATTTAAAATGGATCTATCCAGCAATCAACTTACTGGATCCATCCCCATGGAAGTAGGTAACTTACAGCATCTTGTTTTCTTGGATGTTTCTGAAAACAAGTTATCTGGTGAGATTCCACAAAGCTTAGGGAGTTGCACAAGTTTGACGATTCTATCTCTAAGTGGGAACTCATTGCAGGGGACAATTCCTAAATCCTTGACCTCATTGAGAGGAATTGAAGATTTTGACCTCTCTCGCAACAACTTGTCTGGCATAATTCCCAACTACTTGGGGAGTTTCCCCTTCTTGCAGAATTTGAACCTTTCATTTAACGATTTTGAAGGTGCAGTACCAATCCAAGGAGTTTTTAAGAACGCAAGTGCTGTATCTGTTGTGGGAAACACACGGCTTTGTGGAGGTATACCTCACTTAAGATTGCCTAAATGCATCTCCACGCAATCCAAGCGAGGGTTATCTCCTAAGCTGAACTTAATTATCTCAGTTTCCTGTGGGGTTGTCGGCTTGGTCTTGGTGTTGTTACTTGCGCTTCTTTATCGATCAAGAAAGGCTAGAGTGCTTAAGTCAACTTCAGCATCATCACTGGGGGTTTCACTCTTGAAACTGTCCTATGGAGATCTCCTCAAAGCAACTGATGGTTTCTCTGCTTCGAATTTGATTGGTGCTGGAAGTTTCGGGTCTGTGTACAAGGGAGTTCTCAATCAACATGAAGAAAGAAATGTTGCGGTGAAAGTACTCAATCTTCAAACTTCAAGAGCTTCTAAAAGTTTCATGTCTGAATGTGAAGCCTTGAAAAGCATTAGGCATCGAAATCTTGTAAAGCTACTGACTGCTTGTTCAAGCATTGATTTTCAAGGAAACGATTTCAAAGCCCTGGTGTATGAGTTCATGGTGAATGGAAGCCTAGATGAGTGGCTGCACATATCAGCTCAAGGAGTAGATAGGCCAGCCAATCTGCCAAAGAATCTGAATCTCACTCAAAGAGTTAACATTGCCATCGATGTAGCATGTGCTCTGGATTATTTGCACAACCGCTGCCACATGGCAATAGTTCATTGTGATATAAAGCCCAGCAACATTTTGTTAGACAGTGACATGACTGCTTGTGTTGGTGATTTCGGTTTAGCAAGGTACCTCCGGGATGCTTCTTGCCTATCTCCTTTGCACGATAGCAGTTCCAATGTCATAAAAGGCACCATAGGCTATACTCCACCCGGTAAATTTTCCTTTGTATATATTTTATTTGTGCTTGCAGTATGGTTTTGTATATAGCATGAGTTTTTTAAAGTCACACATAAGAACAAAGCTATGTTTTTGTGCATGTAACTTAAAGAGTATGGAATGGGAGGCGAGGTGTCAACATATGGCGACGTGTATAGCTACGGTATATTGTTGTTAGAGATGTTAACTGGCAAGAGGCCGATAGATGATATGTTTAAAGGTGGTATGGACCTGCATAATTTTGTTATGATGGCTCTACCAGAACGTGTGGGAGAAATATGTGATCCACTACTTGTTCAAATAGAAGAAAGCAGCAGCAGTACTAATCCCAGAAGTAATAGGGGGAATCATGCCCTAAATGATCAAAGAAAAAGGGTTGTGGAGTGCTTGACTTCCATTGCAAGAGTAGGAGTTGCTTGTTCTGTGGCGATGCCGAAAGAGAGAAAAGACATGAGCAATGTGGTAGCTGAATTGAGTCTTATAAGGGATGTGCTAACTGGAACTAGGATGCCTAGAGAGTATCCGTGATGACGATCCAAGTAGTGAGTAATAATACCCTGTTATCGTTAAATAAAATCCCATGACAGTGCTTGAACTTTGCATGGTGATCTTCTGAATGATGATGAGGTGGATTTTCTTGTTTTACAATTTCATTTTGTATGTTTTGTAAATGATCTTAATTTGTAAAATCATCTTTATGTATGCTTGGAAATTTGGAATTTGTCAATTTAAGTTTGGTTCTTGTTCTTATTAATTATGTGATTTTAATTGGGTTTTTCCCACAAATGGTCCATGAGATTGATCAAATTCATCATGTTGGTTCCTCATTTTCAAAATCAATCAATATCATCCCTGACAATTACTATCTCACATCAATTTGATCATTCCGTTAATATGCAAAAGATGCGCAATTCTCGTCGATATTTATGTTTTCATGTCAAGGCAGCATATGAGAACTGATAGCATTAAACATTGCTCACTCCGTATCTAATGAAAAATAGTTTTGCTCCTAACATTGAACTCCACCGATGATTGGTTTATGAGTTTCAGCCAATTCCTCTCTCACCCTGCGGAAATCCTCCTTATGACAAAAACACAACCCGATTGAAACAATAATCTTAACCGTGACGACAAATTTGCAAGGATTTATATCAGTGATGTCAGGACTATTGTTTTCATACCTGTGCAGTCAGGAGAGATTCTTTGGCAATCACCTGCAACGGTACACAAACACCATCAAATTTTCAAAATCGGAAAAATTACCAAAAATAAAATAAAATACCCTAATAATTACATTTTTTTTTCTTCTAATGCTATGGTTCGGTTCAATTGAGAAAGGGGTATGAAAAAAAAAATCAAGAAATCAAGAAAAGAATAGCGAAAAGGGATATTTGTAAAGAAATTTTTGGAAAACATCGCGGATGGAATGGTGGTGCCGTGGAAAAATTTGCTGACTCCGATTAGCTCACAATCTAAGATAATTCGAGGTGTACAGGAAAAATATTACCTTCTCCGGACCCAAAAAAGGTCGGAAAGGCCTGAAATTGGCCGGAAAAATAAACACCGCAAGCTGGGCTTATGGAACTCTTCGGTCGAGGGTAGATTCGAGCATGCAAAGGTCGAATGTTGTTGTTGTTGGCACTCTCTTGAGTCGAATTGTTGTGGTTGCAGTGCCAGCCGCCAGAAAACGTCGATTTTGCGTTTCTCGTTCGAACGATAAGTCGGAGTCGGTGAGGAGCGAGAAGGGGTAGAGAGAAGAGAAAAGAACAAAAAAATAAGAGAGTATTATTGGGAAGTTTGGAGTGTTAATAACAATTCTTAAAAATAAAAATAAAAGTACATATATTTTCTCCGACAGTGGCAGAGAAATAATAAATGAAATTTAACGGGAGCAAAACGGGAAACGAGGTTTGTGAACAATGAATCACCTAATTTTAAGTTGTAGTATATATCAAATTAAATTTGGTTGTGACTTCTTGATTTTTATTATCGTTAGAATTTATACTATTTTTGTACTTTCTTAAATTGCTCCAACTCTTCCTTTTATAAAGTATTCAATTGTTTCTTTCAAATTATCTAATGTTAACAATAATCAGTTGTGTCTTTCAGTTACTGCAATCATCATTATACATAAATTCTGTCTTGTAAGTTGCAAATAATACATAATTTAGTTGCGTCACCGGTTCAATAAATGTTTGTATGTCACTAATTAAAAATTATTCCAATCATTCTATAATTGTGCATCATGTAACGTCACCCAATCCCATAAGAGACACTAAAGATCATTCATGTTCTTTTTGAGTCTTTGTGTCAAATTAATTACCAAACGCACTTAATATCAAGAGCTATAATGATTGCATGCGTATATATGCATGGTTAGGGAATCCTGTTGTTGGAGATGCTTACTGGAAAGTGGCCTACAGATGAAATGTTCAAAGATGGTTTGAACGTGCACAAGTTCGTTTGGATAGCTTTGCCTGAGCTTGTTGAAGAAAAATGTGATCCCGTGCTTCTTCAAGTAAACGAAAGCAACACACATAGTAGTTGAAAATAAAGGGTTTATGACAAGTATAAAAATTCTCTACAATCTCACAATTCTCAAATAAGAACTTCAATACTTTATTCTTCTCCATAAGTAGGTTTTTATAAGATTACATAGGAGCAATAAACGAAATAAATCTAAACAATCCTTTGTTAACAAGACAAGGCTAGACCAAATCAAATCATATCAAAACCCTAATTAAATCATATAAAATCACTAATTAAATCAAATCCTAAAATACTTTCCTTTTTATTTTCCAACAATAGTAATACCGCAAACAATAGGAATCAGGTCCAAGATGATCAAGGGCATCTTCTGCAGATTTGCCGAGAGAGCGGATGGATATTGGACATGTTGAAGGACTATGCCTAGTAAGGGTTGTACTAACTGGAACCTGGATTCCTAGAATTAATATGATCACGGCCTAAGCAGCACGCGATCCAACTGAGTTTGTTCGAGTACTGAGTTTCTCATTAGTATGAATGAGCATAATTTATGGTCTTATTCTTGGCAGTTTGCTGCCTAATTTCTTTATGCGCTTCAGGCATGGTGTGAAGAAATCAAGTAATTGTTGAACAACCCGAAGCCCTTGGTCGTGATGTTTATCGAAGTTAGATATTGTCCTACCAACTCGTAACCTGCATTTTCATACTTCCCTCTTGCCTTGCATAATTTAATCACCAGAATTCCTACTTCTGTTCACTGAATGCTGGATATTCATGGCCCAATCGTATCTTCATTTCGATCTCTATGACAAGAAAAAGAAGAACCACATGTGGAGATAATCCCATTTCAGCAAGAACAAAGAAAACCACCGCTAGCAAAACTGACAACTCGGAAGCTGAGAAGGATTAAGCAAATAAACATCAGCCGCGCGAGGAGAAGAAAAGCTAATCGTTGAATTGAATTGGACATGTTTTGCATTATTAGTGGTAGGGGACAGAAATAGGGTTCAGCCAAAAGCTACGTTTTGCATTATCATACCTTTCCAATGAAAAGGGTTCAGTTCAAGCAACATGTGACATTTTCTTCACAGCAACACTCAAGAGTTATGTGCCAAACCCAAGGGTCTGTACCATTTCACGGATCCAGATCCTCTCCGAATCTCTCTCTCCAGATTCTTTCCAAAACTACAATCCGGGCTGTTAATGCAGATCATGTGGCCAGCAATCAGTCTTAATTTTTTTTTAATTTTCTTACCCAAACTAATTCACCTCTCCCCTGCGGGACGGCCAAGATTATAATATCATTAAGAGAGAGGATCTGATCATAATTTCCATTCAAATTAATTTAATACTCTAATAGATTATGATATATAAAAATTAGCATGAGTCATAAAGTGAAGGCAACGACAGTGAGATCCACGAAATTTCCAAAGACTTTGAGCAACGGATTTGGACGCCAAAGTTTACTCCTGCTCTTAACTTTGAACTTTCTAAGTCTTTGCGTCAACTTACGATGTCTTTCCTCAATACCTACATTTGCTTCAAGTTTTAGTTTTGTTTCTGTTCATGCATATGCACTTCTGCTTCAAAACTCGAGCTTTTTTTTGGCGGCCGCAATGGAGTTCCCAGGTATCTTCCTAACTACTTGGTTTGTTTCCATGCAACTCTTTCTTTTTACCTCGGTCTCTTCCTCACGTCTAGTAGGAAATGAGGTGGATAGGTTGTCCTTGCTTGCCTTTAAAGCTGAAATCGCATACGATACACTCAGAACCCTTAGCTCCTGGAATGCATCCCTACATTTCTGTCAGTGGCCTGGTATTACCTGTGGCCGCAAACACAAGAGAGTCACGGTGCTCGACCTTCAATCAAGAGAGCTGGTAGGGTCGCTATCCCCCCACATTGGAAACTTGAGCTTTTTGAGAGAGTTAAGCCTCGAAAACAATAGCTTCAACAACAACATGTTGAGAATCAATGTCAAGCCCAAAACCATAAGTAATCTACAACCCAATCTAAAGTCCAAGTCCATATCTAGTTTGATGAGGTAATTGCTTACAATTGCAAAGTTAGGTAATGTTAGGTATGGTTGAGTGGAAAAAATTAGGTGCAATTAGTGGGTTTTGTGTGGTACTAAATAATCTTAGTTTAATTAAGTGTGTGGTGTAGCTTTCATTTGGTTTGCTATAAATACCCAAGTCCCCAAGCATTGTATATCATCCAAGGAAAAACAAAGCCTAGAGCTAAATAAGAAAAGCTTTGTTAATTAGTTTGTTTTGTGAGCTTTCTTTAAGAGTGTGCTCTATTCTCTTCTTCTTGGGATCATTAGAGTTATCTTGGATACTCTTCTTATTCAACAATTGGTATCAGAGCCAAGTCGGTCAGGGATCGTTCTTGGTAGAGCATTGGTTGTAAAGTCTCTTGAAATCCCGAGTATGCTCTGTGGTTGCAGTTTTGACTGATCTTCCACATCAGAAAAGATTTCTTGAGATTATTGCTGGGGTTATCACAAACCTTGAGAGGGAGCTTCTTTGTGTCGAGAGTAGTGTATTACTCTGCACGGTAGTCACTCAAGCTTGTTCGGTGTAGTCAAAGTCTTGCCGATACGATGGGTGATCTTCAAGTTGTTGGAGGAATCAAGAAGCTCAACAACCAAAACTATAACACGTGGGCAACGTGTATAGAGTCTTACCTTCAAGGTCAAGACTTGTGGGAGGTTGTCGGTGGTAGTGAAGTTACACAACCGGCAGCGGAAGATGCTAACGGCGTCTTGCGGAAGTGGAAAATTAAAGCAGGCAAATCAATGTTTGCTTTAAAGACCACAATAGAAAAAGAAATGTTGGAGCACATTCGGGATGCTAAAACGCCAAAGGAAGCATGGGACACTTTTGTTACACTCTTTTCGAAGAGGAACGATACAAAATTGCAACTTCTCGAGAATGAGCTGCTATCGATGGTACAACGCGACATGACGATTGCCCAGTACTTTCACAAGGTGAAGTCGATATGCCGTGAAATTTCAGAATTAGATCCAACAGCTCCTATTGGGGAAACCAGGATGAAGAGAATAATTATCCATGGTTTGAGACCCGAATATCGAGGGTTCATTGCCGCTATACAAGGATGGCCGACACAACCATCGCTTGTTGAGTTTGAAAATTTGCTTGCAGGTCAAGAAGCTATGCCCAAGCAAATGGGAAGAGTCTCACTGAAGAGTGAAGAGGAAGTGCTCTACACCAACAAAAGCAAAGGCACCTTCAAGCGGTACACTGGTAGTGGATCTAAAAAGGATGGAGAAAATGTGCAAAGTCACCAAGGAAATGGAGGCTCTCGTTCTGGGGGAGCTTGGAAGAATCGCGGTAATAGTAAAAAGTTTAGTGGCAAGTGTTACAACTGCGGGAAGATGGGCCACATGGCGAAAGATTGTTGGACCAAGAAAGAGCATGTTGAAAGTAATACTGCTACTTCCAGTTCGAAGGAGAATAGTGAAGATGGCTGGGATGCTAAAGCATTATTCGCTACGGAGGAAGAAGAAGAATTAGCCCTCACGATAACAACACCAGAACGCATTGACTACAAAAATGATTGGATCGTAGATTCGGGCTGCTCAAATCATATGACGGGTGATAAACAGAAGCTGCAAAATCTATCTGAATACAAGGGAGGTCGTGTGGTGGTGACAGCCGACAACTCAAGGTTACCGATAACTCACATCGGTAAGACAATAGTTAAGCCTCGATATAATTCTAACCAGGTGCCACTTCAAGATGTTTATCATGTCCCAGGAATGAAGAAAAATTTGCTATCTGTGGCTCAATTGACATCATCAGGCCACCATGTCTTGTTCGGTCCACGAGATGTGAAGGTGTATCGTGACCTCAAAATCTCAGAAACACCAACAATGGAGGGGCGACGATTGGAGTCAGTCTACGTAATGTCAGCAGAATCTGCATATGTAGACAGGACAAGGAAAAATGAGACATCAGATCTATGGCACATGCGGTTAGGTCACGTTAGCTATTCCAAGCTAAGTGTGATGGTGAAAAAGTCGATGCTTAAGGGGCTTCCTCAACTGGACGTGCGAACAGACACAGTATGTGCAGGATGCCAGTATGGTAAAGCACACCAATTGCCATATGAGGAATCGAAGTTTAAAGCAAAAGAACCATTAGAGTTAGTTCACTCTGATGTGTTCGGACCAATTAAGCAACCGTCCGTTGGTGGTATGCGGTACATGGTAACATTCATTGATGACTTCTCAAAGTATGTGTGGGTCTTCTTTATGAAAGAAAAATCTGACACATTCT